TTGTATATCGTCACATACAGAACTGCCCGGTAAACCGTAGGCAGAGAGAGAGAAGATATATATATTGTCACATTGTGAATCAGAGCGCAGAAGCGAAAAAAAAGGGGAAAGAAGGAAAAGGAAAAAAGGGAAAGAGAAGAGGTAAGGAAAGCTCCACCTGTTCATAACCTCTTACGTACAAGGCCAGCCACGTGGATGACAGGTTGAGCGCTGGCTGCCCCCATCCCCGTGTGTCACAAGGACCCACTTGCACGCAGCCAATATAGATAGATAGATATACAAGGCGGTCGAGTTTCGGTGGGTGGATGGCGGAACATGGGCTTGATTCAGGTCCATTGTTTTACATAGGACTGCGAACTGAATTACTCTTCAAATTGACTGTCTGCATGTACACCTAGAAGCGGGAAATATACACTCGCCATCGTTTCTTGTTGTCGTCTCACATTCGGCGGGTAGTGGAGCGAGGCCCACTTGATAGTCTACGGTGTTCCCCTTTTTTTTTCTTTTTTTTTTTTCAGTCTACGGTGCCCCTCGCAGTTCCATCAACAGCAAGAGGGGAGGGGGGGGGCTGGAAGACAAGGTCCTACTTGAAAAGAGGATTGGATGAAGCGCCTGAATCTGGACGGGATTGATGCAGAGATGCTGGCTGAAAAGCGTATCAATCCCGTTTCTTTTCTCTGCACCTCTCCGGAAACATGTCCAGATTCATGCGTTCAATCCAAAAATCTCTTTGCTACTACCGTAGTAGTGGTACATCCGCCCAGGGGGGGCAACAACGTCCCACTTGCACGCGGGAAAGCGGGACCTGTCTACCGTTAGGGCCCCCCCCCTCCTCCTCCCCCCTCCCCCCTCCTCCTCCCACCCCCACCCCCTTCCAGGTCTTTGTTCATTTCATTCGTAATCCCGACACCCCGACACCCCGACACGGCAAGGTCCGCTTGGAGGCGGTTAGCGGCACTGCCCCACTCAGTTGCGCGACGATGGGCATGGGCCTTGCCGCACCAATCAGCAGCAAGTGTGAAAACACTGAAAAGGAGAAAAACTATGGCGGGGAATGTTTCCACGTTCTACCGTATGATACATTCTCCATTTTGCAAACATTCGGTGACCACCGTCGTTGCAGCGAAGCCCTATGTCACACACCACCCATGGTGTCCGCGCGTGCCTGTGTCGCGTGTGTCTGTCCATTCAGATCGCCGAATCCTGGGAAGGATTATTCCCGCCCGTGTGTATGAATTTCGTCGTCACTTGCTTCCTTTCCTAAAGCAATCGCCCTTCTCTCTCTTTCTCTCTCTCTCTCTCTCTCTCTCTCTCTCTCTCTCTCTCTCTCTCTCTCTCTCTCTCT